GAGACCTAGCTCAAGCAGTAAAGTACATGCCTCATAAATTTGAGACCCTGAATTTGACCTCTCAAATCATATGATTCCCCAAGCACTGCCACAATATGTATGTATGTATATATATATGTATGTATATATATATTTAAATGCTTTATATGCTGGAGTCCATAGCACAGCGGTAGGGCGTTCGCCTTACAAGCGGCCAACATGGCCGACCCGAGTTCGATTCCTCCACCCCTCTCGGAGAGCCCGGCAAGCTACCGAGAGTATTCGATATGCCAGACACAGTAACAACAAAGTCTCCAATGGAGACGTTACTGGGCCCGCTCGAGCAAATCGACGATCAACGGGAGGGCCTTTATATGCTGGAGTGATAGCACAGCGGTAGGGCGTTCGCCTTACAAGTGGCCAACATGGCCAACCCAAGTTCGATTCCTCCACCCCTCTCGGAGAGCCCGGCAAGCTACCGAGAGTATTCGATATGCCAGACACAGTAACAACAAAGTCTCCAACGGAGACGTTACTGGGCCCGCTCGAGAAAATCAACGATCAACGGGAGGGCCTTTACCTTTTACCTTTACCTTATATGTGGAAGACTCAGGTTCAATTCCTGGCACTGCATGAACCCCCAGCACTGCAGGCAACAATCCCCAAGCACTAATCTAGGAGTAACTCAGCAACTCAGCAATGAAACTCTAAGGCCTTACCTGAACTTGCTGCATCAAAGTGTTAATTTTTTCAATATACTCAAGTAATATCCACAGTTGAACCCTATTCTTATTAAAAATCCAGAAGAACCATCCCAGATTTTGCTGTTGCCCTGGTGGTCTCCAGCAGGAGAGGTGGTCTCTCTTCTGAGGGGAGGGGAAGGCAAAAAAAAAATCAAACAAATAGAAGCACTGTCCTGTTTCTTCCCCACCATAGTTATTCAAAATATTTCTCACAACTCTCAATTCTTTTTCTCTTTTGTAGAGAACTAGGTGGGCATGGTTGCACTCAGTGGTGCTCATAGGCTACTCTTGTATAGGGTTACAGGTAGCTCCAGGTTGTGTTCGGGGAATCATGTAGTGCCAGGGATCCAACAATGATTGGCCACATGCAAGGCAAGTGCCTTAACCCTTTCTCTCTCTTTCCACCCACCCAATACTCAATTCTTGATCCCCTGCATGGATGATTATCAATCAACATCTAACCAGGAAACAGAAAATATTTTAAGGATTCCAATCAAGAAATTCAAGAATGAAAATTGACTAAACAAATGATAGCTTTAAAGTCAAACTGGGTTAGTGAAACACTGCAGAGGGGAAACAATATGGCCGAAACTATATAAGAAATGACCTCTTTGGACCAAAAGAGGCAGTAAGATATCCAAGGGCTAGGAGTCAGGTGAGCCTGGCAGAAACCAGAATAGGTCTGTCTGGCATGGGACAGATTCTCAAAGATGTGGAAAGAAAACAAATTACACTGCTTTCTATCATACAATATCATAGAAAGAGTAGGCCTTTGATTTTATTAAGACAGAGAGTTACATTTATAGCCACAGAATGTAACTAAAATGCCCAACAAAACACAGAATGCATAGACCTTCCAGCTCTGGATGTTTCTAGAAATTTAGGGAATTATCTTTTAATATGAGGGTTTTCTGAAATCAAGGCTGGGGATATTGAAACTGTGGCTGTAATGTTCTAGAAAAATGCCCCCTGCTATGGAAAGGGGCCTATATCTCTCCAGACTTCTAAGTGAGAGTGCAGACTTCCATGCTAGCTAAATGAAACAAACTATGTCTATCATCACATAAAGAGAGGGGTTCGGCAGGGTAATACCATTTCACCGAAACTCTTCAGTGCCACCCTTGAGAATGTCATGCGATGGCTGGTATGGGAAGAAATGGGAGTGAAGATAGACGGTTGGCAACTACACCATCTTCGCTTTGCTGATGACATCGTTCTAATAACACCAAACATTAGCCAAGTGGCACAAATGCTGCCTGACTTTGACCGTGAGTGTGGAAAGGTCGGACTGCAGCTGAATCTCACCAAGACAATGTTCATGAAAAATGAACTAGTCCCTGACATTCCATTTGCTCTCAACGGAATGAACATCTCCGAATGCAGCAGCTATGTGTACCTGGGTCGAGAACTCAACATGAGGAACAACTTGGCGCCAGAACTGCGCAGGAAGAAGAGAGCGGCATGGAACATCTTCAAGAGCATCAAAGTTGTTAAGAGGATGAAAAATCTCCTGCTCCGGGCACATCTTTTCGACTCTACCATTCTTCCTGCACTAACATACGCCACAGAAACCTGAGTCCTACAAAAACAGGACGAGAATGCTATTTGGGTATCCCAAACAGGAATTGAAAGAGCTATGCTCGGAGTATCATGCTTCACTCAAGTGAGAGAAGGAATCCAGAAAACTGACCTCCATCGACGATCAAGAATCAGGGATGCTGTCTTGTTTGCCAAGGTGTCGAAATTCAGATGGGCTGGACATGTAATGCGATTGAGAGACGACCCCTGGACTAGAGCTGTTACCGACTGGATTCCACAGGATGTCAAAAGGACACGTGGTCACCCACCTACAAGATGGTCATACTTCTTCGTCAAAACCCTGAACAAACGGTTTGAGGCTCTTCATGTTCCTGGAGCAAGCAGATGCCATTGGGCTACACTGGCACTCAACAGGGACAAATGGAGATGTTACTGGTGCCCAGTTAAACAAATCGAAAATCAACAGGATGACAAGTGATACAAGTGATTAGACAAGCCACTGGCATTTAGACTTAATATGCATTTATTACAATTAAAATCAAGACAAGAGATTGGCACAGGAAAGATAACACAGGAGTTAAGGCTCTTGCCTTGCTATCTTGGCAATGCTGTTTCAAGTCCCTGGCACTATACATAGACCCTGAATACTGCTATAGGTCACTCCTGAGAACAGAGAGGCATAGCCCTGAGTACCACTGTGTGGCCCCACAACAAAACAAAACAACAACCATAACAAAAGACTGGATAGATCATGATAAAATCATCTAAAGACCATTACTGTCCCTTGACAATATTCTAGCAACCCACTCATCCTTGTCCCTTGCTCTTCCTAGGCCCCTATTTTGTTTTGCTTTTTTTCCAGTCCCCTGTCTTAACTTTATTTATTTATTTTTTAAATTTTATTTAATTTTTTTTAGAATTTTATTTATTTATTTAATTTTGCTTTTTGGGTTACACCGGGCAATGCACAGAGGTTACTCCTGACTTTGCACTCAGGAATTACTCCTGGCAGTGTTCAAGGGACCATATGGGATGCTGGGAACCGAACCCAGGTTGGCCACATGCAAGGCAAACTCCCTATCCACTGTACTATTGCTCCAGCCCCTCCTGTCTTAAATTTAAACCCAATGGAACATGCCCACCCATCCCCTTAGTTAAAAGGTGCTGGTGAGATAGCACAGTGAGTAAGGCATTTGACTTGTATGCTGATGACTTGGGTTTAATTCCCAGATCCCACCTACGGTCCCCCAAACACTGCTAGGAGTGACTCCTGAACTCAAAGTCAGGAGTATGAGCAGCACTAGGTATGAAGCCCAAACCAAAAGCAAACAAACAGAACAAATAAACAAAAAACCAAAGGAAGGTATAAGAAGAGAAAGGTTTCCACCTTTCTCTGAAATCCTGCTTAGTTCTATCATCCTATTTAAAATTTTAGAATTCCTGGAGCAGCATAACATTCTCTTAACCACTGATGTACCAGGAATAGCACACCACATATGATGGTGTGTAAAGTAGAAGGTAACGAATCTTGATTAAAAAAAAAAATTAGCATAGAAATCTCAACCTGTAACATGTTAGTAATCTCTTACACAAGAGCTTAATTTAATGTCTCCAGGGTGAGATACAGCAACTTTCACACACTTTCCTCTAAGGAAACTTTTTGGGATCATTTTTAGTGGATTATTCACAACAAGCAATACAAAATAAATTATGTAGTATCTTCCTTTGGGGCAAGCTTTGGTGGTGGTGGGAAAATTTGAAATAATGGTGGTGGGAAGATATAATGGTGGTGGAATTGGTGTTGGATTATTGAATGTAATAAATTATTGTGAACAACTTTATAAAAATAAAAATAATTTGAAACTTAGAAAAATAAAAAAAATCCCGTTTAGATATCCCTTTCATAGCAAGAGAGGCTTTCTGTGTTTTCCCCTTCCTTTTTCCTCTTTTTCTTTTTTCTTAAATAAAATGTTTTCTGAATTTAGTAGAAATAATAATAAAATCAAGACTGATCTTTCTGTTTGAGTGCTTCTGCGCTGCTGTTTCCCACCTCTAGATGAGGAAGGGAGGTCAATGAATGATATTAGAGCCTGGAGTAAGTAAGGAGGAATGAAGAACATGTATGTGGGTTTATTTTATTTTACATGTGTTTGTGAGATGCCAGAGATCAAACCAAAGATGCTTTTGACCACTGAGCCACATCCAAACCTCAAAAGAACTCAAAGACTGTCCTACAATGAAGGGGTTCCTGTTGACCTTTCAGAAAACTGCTTTTTTGACTGGGAAAAACTCAACTGAAAGAAAATCTCACCACTTGTCAGAAACCCACAAAAGTGTTCCTGCATCAGCCAGTACAAACTTGAACTGAAAAAAAGAGCAAACTGGCCTACTTGGAGTTGATGGAAAGAGAGGCAGGTTACTAGACCAGTGGGTGTCTATCCAAGTCTTATAATCCCCCAGAAACCAGCCCTGTTGTGGCACATGTAGAATGCCACTACCAAGCGAACAACTAAAATAACTCAAGATCCGAAGACCTTACTTAGTCACCAAGTATTGCCTAGCCATTTTCAATTTCTAGTCTCAGTTCCAGCATCTGTCAAATGGGATTAATAATATTGATCTCCAATTACTCTCAGTATTATTGTCATGTTCAGATAAAATCACATTTGTGATATCATTTAAATATGTAAAGAAATTGCTTCATTAATCTTTCAAAAATAAAGAAACTTCACACACCCATGCTTGCAATCACATTTATTAAAATGCAGTCAGTGAAATGTGTCCACATTTCTGGAGCACAACTTTCTTTATTGGTGTGTAACAACACCCAAGGGCTAGATGAACAACATAATCAAAATCAAATGCTGGCTTTTTACAGACTTGGCTAAAACAGTAAAACGCAAATCACCATTTAAACTGCAAGAAATCTGAGGACATTTCATTCATTGTTTTGCTTTTTAGAGCTGTTGACATACACACTTTAATTTTAATGCTCATGGCAACTCCATATTTAAAAGGCGGGGGGAGAATCTCTTATCCTAATTTAGCAGAAAGCAGAGCTATCAGTGAAAAGACAGGGCAATATCAAAATACAGCTGCTTTTCATCCATACTTGTCTAAATGAGAAACATGCTGCCACTCACAGAGGCTTGAATAATGATGCACATGCACACAGCAACACCAATGCCTCGCTTCCGGGTAGTTTCCACCTATGTCTTCACTTTACTCTGATTCTTTATCTTCCTCTGAAAAGTGAGGCACTGACTTCTTTGCAACAACGTTGTCCAACCTCTGTCCTTGTAAATACGGATTGACACTCTGAAAAAAATATATGGTTTGGTATTTTGTCCTAAAATCAGATACTGGTAGCTCCCAAAAGAGATAAACAAAAAGCATCTATTACTTATAGAGTTAAACCCACACCTACCAAATTATTGATCTCGTACAGGAATCAATACCTCAGTCAATACACTGGAGAATCACTGACAAATGGGTCTGATTGTATCTTTTATAGCTATAAAGTTCAAATGCATTACCCCTACCTGCCCTTCTTTTTTTTTTTTATCATGGACTAACAAATGTGTTTTTACTATTTAAAAGCAAAGCCTTATAGAAGAGAGAATTATTGTTCTTATTTGTGAGGATCTTAAGTACATCATATTATTTTACAAGACAATGTTCTAAAGATGGCAGAGCCAGACTAGTGGAGATTAACATTTGCAGACTGATTCCAAATCATCTTCTTGCTGTGATTGATTCCTCTATGAACAGAATTCATTAGGGGTTCTAGCAATCATTTCCACCTTCCCTCAGTCAAACTCCAAAGCTAAAAAAATTATATTATTATTAATTTTACTCATGGCCCTATAATGCAAAATATCTTTTCTTTATTGGTATTCTGAATAAATCAAGATTTCTTCATTTCTTCTCTAATATGTATCTATATGTTGAGGTTTGGGTTTTAACTAGTAATTGGAGCTTTGCAACATAGTATTTAGCAAAGCAGAAGAGGATTCAAACGTTTTAGAAGATGCCTATTTTTGGAAGTTGCCTTCAAATGACTGAACAAAGATAGAAGCAGTGGTAGTTACAAATGATTAGTCATTATACTGCATGTAAAGTCCCATGAATGACTAAAGGCAGTTCAGGGGTGGGTCTCCCTCACTCCTGGTGTATGGAGCATTTGTGCCATGGCTCCTCCAGGGTAGGCAGACTTTGTACAAATGAGAAAAGGTAGCACCTAGGTTTAGTATTTGTAAGCCTCCTTCTACATTCTAATATTCAAAAGTAATAATCTGAAAGGTTCAACATCACCTAAAAAATTGTCTTATGTGTCTTATGTACAAGATGAGAATTACTAGGTTCTGAATGCCCTCATACATTCAAAAAGTAACATGTCATGAAATTACAGTTCCCTTTTGGAAAGGCATATTTTAAATATTTAACATAACTGAAATACTTTTCTAGTGTCAGTATTGTCAACCAGAATGGACTAGCTTACTTCAGAAATCATATAATCTCTTAGTAGATGGAACAAATATAGTTGGGAAAAAGCATATTCAATATCCTTTTACTATTTTTAGTAATAATATTAATTCTGAAAATTCAAATATGTCAAAAAGTCATGATATTTAAATGTCAATCATGTTATGAATAAAAATTTGATAGACTAAGATCAATTATAACTCTCAAACAATACTGATACATCTTAAGTTTAAAAGTTTGTTTGTTTATTTTGGGGCACACTCAACTGTGCTCAGGGCTTAATCCTGGCTCTGTGCTCAGAGATCACTCCTGGTGATATTCAGGAGACCTTACAGGATTCCAGGGATCAGATCCAGGTCACCTGTGTACAAGGCAAGTACCCTACCCATTGTACTATTTCTTTGGTTTTGCAAAATCAGTTAAAGGTGAATTGACATTTTAATTATGAAGTAACTAGAACTTCTATTAAATTTGAGCAAGTATAGAAAATTATACAGAGCCACCTGGGGATCAACTATATATAATTGCTCTGCACTGTAGAACTGTCATGTAGCACTGTCCTCCCATTGTTTATCGATTTGCTCGAGCAGGCCCAGTAATATATTATTATGTAGTTATTTTATTATTATATATCAATATTATATTATTTATGATATATTATATTATATATTTTATATAATTATTATATAATTATAGAGATAATCCCGCTTGATAAGAATATTATGGGTGAAAAATTCTTCTGCACAGACCCAGATCTGATATGCCAAAATTTAGAGGTGAGAGGCAGTAAATTAGTGAGGAAAAAGAAATAAATTTAAACATTTTTGATAAGTTTGATAGGTTTTATGAATATTAAATCCTACGTTTATCAATATGGTTGCTATAATAACATAGTTGGCTTTAATTATGCTCTTCAGAACTCAAGGCACTTAGATATTTATCTTCTTCATTGGGTGAAAAGGGACGGGTTAGATTATACAAAGAACATTATTCCCATTTCATAAATGGAAGAAGCATTAGGATATCCTCTCAAAACCCACAGAAAATACTAAGTTTCACTAGAGAAAAACTTGATTTTTTTTTCATGAAATCAAACTTAAAGTTTCTTTATATTGATTCATGTGCTTGGAAGGAATGTGAAGAAAATGATAACATGGACAAATCTATCTTTTCTCTTAATCTAGTCACACTAATATAAAATCCACTGGATCTGATATATTCATTTGCTGACTCAGGAATTTACTTCAGGTTTATTTGTCATTCCGTAGCTTGGTGATTCAAGTCTTCCAACAAGAAGAGAGCGCTACCTGAGACCTGATAATGGAAATGGTTACTTGTGAGTCTCCATCAGTATGAGGACCCATGATTTAGGAAACAATAATGGGTCTTTGTAGAAATCTGTGAATAGGAAGAACTTGATACTTTTAGATCAAAATTGTCCCTATTTTAATAAATTCTAAGTTTCTCCTAAGTGGAAGAAGTTGAGACCAAAGTGAAAACCTCTATAGCATGTGTTCTTGCCAGGATTTTTAGTTTGGTCATTGTTGGTCTCATGGAAAAATAACCTAAATTGTTACCCACTATCATTAACTGAGTGAGGGCAACAAGCATGGTGAGTTGAGAAATAAAAACAGTTAAAGCTTTGTAGCAAATCATTTATTTTGGGTCATTGACTGATCTTATTTGGCAATGTTCTTATTATGCTATGGGGATAGTCAATCCATCTTACTGCTGTCATGTGTATTCTGAGCTCATGCAATAGACTTTCTGGGTCTCTCAAGACCCTATTATGTCCCAGAGACCCTTCCTGCCATCATCTGCTTTTAGAAACTAATAATGACCCAAGAAACCCCCCAAGAACCCCAATCACTCTCCCAAAGAAGATCTATTTTCAGAAATTGAAACATCACTTCTCATAGAAAGTGGGCCATGGGTCTTCTATAGTTTTTCAGGCACTACAGAGTTTTGGAACACATTGTGGTGGGACAGGGGGTGGAGGGGCCTGACAATTATTGCTGAATCCATAAAATCTACATCTTTTAGGGGATTTTCTAGTAGGAACTGGAAAACCACTCAGAATGTCACAATTATCACTACCTAGATTCCTAAAATTTAGCCAGCATCAAGGCACTTGACCTTCTTACTAAATATGGAGTGCCTTTAGATTTATGGTTTTGTCTGTATATTTTAAATGCAGTATTGATTTATCTAGCAGCACCATGCAGTGTAGCAATAGGATTTTAACATTTTCTTTCATCTGATCAGAAAAAGATGGCAGGAAGCCAGTCCCTCATTTGTAGAAAGGCACCAATAAATGAGTGAAATAGGTATGAGTTACCTCTTAGTCTTGATGCTATACAATGCACTGGGAAACCCAAAATAAATTGAGCATTCATTTTCACAAGAGGCAGCCTATAATGACTAAATGTGGAGCACCCAAAGGTCTCACCTCGGGCAACTGTGGGTGGCTTTGTTTATTACAAAGATGCAATAAATTCCGAAGTCAGCAAAGTAACATGGTTGGTCTAGAGGAGTCTAGTCATCAGTGGGGCTAGATTAAGTAAAAAGATATGTAGGAGGAATGAGCTTTGTCCTTCTCATCATTTGTCCCACATTCTTTCCAAAATATTGCCTGGAGCATGCACTATAATTGATACAAATGAGTAAGCAGTTTCCTCCAGTGACCTATTTGAGCAAAGACATCCCCTCATACTCTGTCTGCTTTCCCACACCCATGGAAAGGACGCAACACATATCTTCTGAGTGCAAAGCAAGCAATGGAATCATCACCAACTTGGCGAGCCCCTGAAAATTAATGTGCTGAAGCTTGGAGAAATCATTGCAGAAACCAAGGACAAATTTTCAGGGTGTGGTCCTGTCACACAACAGACCATTGCTCTGTGTTCCCAGGGAAAGGATTTGGCTACTCTCCAACTACTGAGGCCATTCAGGTTTCCAATTGCCTGACTCAGAAATATCCCCGCACCCTCAACACCACCCAGCCATGCACACGTTACCCTTCGCTTCCGTCTCTGTCCTCCCTTCATCTTCTCGTAGAGGAGTTTCTTGTTCTAGAGTGAGAAGAAAGGGCGAAGTATGGATCAAATTTGGCAATGGTTTACTAGTCAAAGCCACACTTGGTGTGTCCCCTGGATATTTGCATACACATATTTTGGAAACAAAACGAGATGAAAGGAATGTCATGTCAGAAAGATCGACCGCAAGAGAGAAGCCGGTGGTTGTGCGGCTTCTAATAAAGTTCTCTACAAAGCCCTGGGGCTCACCAGTGTCATCAACAATCATATAAACAGGAAAGGACCCAGCTCTCAGACGCGAGGGGCGCTGGAAACCCAGCCTGTCGCTTTGAACAGCCTTTGTTTTAAACAAACAATTTTATCTCATTTTACCTTTGTATCTAAGTCCCTTTTTATGAGCTGAACACATAAACTGTTCTCTAGAGTAGTGTCTGACTATTAATAACAATCCTCTATGTAAATAAACGAGACATCCTGGCTTCTGCAAGCCTTCCTCCTGTGGCTGAAGCCGGTGCCCCCAGTCAAGACAATCGGAAAACCATTTGGTCTATAACATTTTTAATAGAGTGAACCTTTTAAAAACTGCCAGAAAACTTCTTGGCAGAAGGAAAGTTATGTTGGGGGGAAAAACGGGCTCTGTTACCACAGTTTGTATAAGTGTTTCCACACATTGCTGTATTTCAAACACATAGTGGACTTAAATGAGCTCTCGAATATCAGACACATGCTCAACACATTTTCCTTCTATGGTGATTATAAAAGACAGAACACTTAACCTGATGGCAGAACGGGAGATGGGGATGCAGGAGGCTATATTTGTGCTTTTCTGAAATTTCATTTTTTAATCAGAAGGGTAATTGTGCGTAAAAAGAATGTTTAAAAAAAAACCAACAGTCATTTTTCTTTTCCTTTTTTTTTCAATTTTCTATAACACTTTTGTCCTCTAAGCTGTCTGGATATAAAGATTCTTTCTTTATGGTCGATCTGAAAATGAAAATGACAAATGCCAAGATTGAGCCTCATAATTTTCATGTTCATTAAAATCCACCCCACCGCAATTTACAATGTGAATCTCTTGCCCAACCTCAGCTATGCAGGGAGGCCAGGCCAGGGAATGAAGCAGCTCCAAGGCTGCAACTGGCCACCACTTCCTTCTCCTGCTCACTTGGAGGAACTTATCAATTGACTATTACTAGGGAGAAAAGGCAGATGTGCAGAGCGTTTCTTCCAGGAAAGAGAATAGGGCTGTGAGCTAATTTCTGCCCTCTGTCATTGCTTCTTTGTCATGCTGACAAGCCTTGATGCACATAGAATATTCCAGGAATTTGTTTCAGAGCTGGGGCAATGTGCTGGGGACAAGGAGGGAGGACAAAGCCTTCTTGGAAAGCATCATTGTGTCCAGCTGCCTGAGCTAAAGGGAGCTTACAGGCCCTGGGAGCTGGTACCACATGGTGTGACAGCCAGAGTTCCACTTCAATTAATCTCCTTTTCAAAGGTGATGGGATAAATTAGACACATGGAGACTTCATTCAAAAAGGCATGCTCTGAACAGAGTGGATCTGGGGAAAAAGTGAGTCTGTTCTGGGCACAGAAAGTAGAGACCCAGGCTTTAGTTTCAGAAAGTAGATGGACCCTATGCAATGCCAGAGATCCTTCTATTTGGCTATAATGTTTTGAGGAGAAATGAAGGATTTTTTTCTGAGTCTCCATTTCCCATCTGATCTGAACAATATTTTGTGGGGCTAGTATGAATATTTATATTCACGAGTGTAGTACTTCATTAATTTTTCTTTTCTTTGCAAGATAAGAAAAAAGAGAGAAAAAGAAAGAAAAGAGAGAGTGAGAGAAAGAGAGAAAGTGAGAGAAAGAGAGAAAGTGAGAGAGAGGGGGAAAACAGTGAGGGAGGGAGGGGAGGAAGGACAGAAGGGACGAAGGAGAGAAAGTGTAAAAAATCTGGCAAATCTCCCTCTTAGATATGGCCCTTGTGTTTTCCTGAGAGTTAAGGTTAGATTAAGAATAACACTTTCGGGGCTGGAGCGATAGTATAGCATGTAGGTTGTTTGCCTTGCACGCAGCACACCTGGGTTCCATTCCCAGCATTCCATATGGTCCCCTGAGCACCACCACCAGGAGTAATTCCTGAGTGCGTAGCCAGGAGTAACCCCTGAGCTTCGCCAGGTGTGGGGGTGGGGGGAGAACAACACTTTCAACACTTTCTCACCTCTGCATGTGCTAATGGGTGCCCCATTAGCTCTTCTCTGTTAAAAGAGACATGGATAGGCAAAGGAAATATACAAACCTGTCCGATTCCCTGTAGATGGAATGAGAGAGAGGAACAGTAAACTTGTTTTATTAATTTTTTACTTTTTATTGTAATTTAGGTAACATGATTAGAAAAGTGTTAAAATATATGGGTTTTGATTCACAGTACTGTAAATGGTAAAGGTAAAGGTAAAGGCCCTCCCGTTGATCGTCGATTTGCTCGAGCGGGCCCAGTAACGTCTCCATTGGAGACTTTGTTGTTACTGTGTCTGGCATATCAAATACTCTCGGTAGCTTGCCGGGCTCTCCGAGAGGGGCGGAGGAATCGAACTCGGGTTGGCCATGTTGGCCGCTTGTAAGGCGAACGCCCTACCCGCTGTGCTATCGCGATAGCACAGCGGGTAGGGCGTTTGCCTTGCACGCAGCCAACATGGCCGACTGTAAATGATAAGAGCTTTATGCATATAATGTTCCACACCCTCCACAAGAGTGACAGCACTTTCACCAATGTCTCAAGGTTCCACCTCAGCCCTCCATAAGTCTCTTGACTAACCCCGTATTGTAAGCCAACTCTGGATCTGTCACCACTGGACATTTGTTATGCCTTTAAAAAACGGTTTGCTTAATCATAACACCCAAAAGGAGAGAGAGTAAGAGGGAATGTGTCTGCCACAGAGGCAGGGGGCAGGGAGGGGTGGGGGTGTCGGGAGGGACGCTGGGAATATTGGTGATGGAGAGTGGGCACTGGTGGAGGGATGGGTAGGTACTCGAACATTGTTTGACTGAAACATAATCACGAAAATTTGTAAGTCTGTAACTATCTCACGGTGATTCATTAAAATTGTCATGAAGGTAATACATTAATAGTGAATGTTTTTCTTTACCATCCATGTGCAATTATGCTCTAAATTCAACTACACTACATGAAAGTAAATGGACATTCCAGAAATAAATGTGATTGTATAGTCTTTAATTATTATTAAACCAATGATTGTTGAAAATTAGTGACACATTTGTTATAGAGTGTAACTCATCATTTACAGAATGTTTTAGATGATGTCATCATAATGATAGGTGAATAAGGTATTACAAATAAATTTATATAGCAGTGAAGAATTCCATGCCTTCTGTGGACATTTTATAAGTGCATTTTATATCACAATAAAAATTTTTTCTCTTTAAAAAAATAAAATATATATGTATATATAAAGGTTATATATATATATATATATATATGTTTGCTTTTGATGAGATCCTTTTTACCAGGTTTTTGCTTTATTGGTTTTCTTGTGTTTTTGCAGGGCGGGCACTGAGGGAAGCACAACCAGTGATGCTCAGAGGTTTCTCCTACCTCTGCACTCAGAAATTACTCAGATAGGGGCTGGAGCAATAGCACAGTGGGTAGGGCGTTTGCCTTGCATGCAGCCAACCTAAGTTCAATTCCCAGCATCCCATATGGTCCCCCAGGCACCGCCAGAAGTAATTCCTGAGTGCAATGAACCAGGAGTGACTCATCGCTGGGTGTGACCCAAAAAGCAAAAAAAAAAAAAACAAAAAAAAAAAAACCCAGTTACTCAGATAGAGGTAAAGATGGGTAGGGGGAGGAGTTCCTGCCATAGAGGCAAGTAGGGATGGGAGGCGCATGGGACCGGAGAGAAACTGGGGACTTTGGTGGTGGGAAATGTACACACACAGGTGAAGGGATGGGTATTGGAACTATATGACTGAAGCCCAATCATGAACAACGTAGTAACTGTGTATCTCACTGTGATTCAATTAAAAAAATTCAAAGAAATTTTGTAATATATTTTATTATGTATTTACTGCACCTTTCCCAAGACCCTCCATCACTGGACCTATGTCACTTCTAGTCTACCTCTTCCACCTATCCCCTCCCCTCGCTTGGTAAATGATTTAAATGTGAGAAGTATGAGTTCATAAAACGAGCTTTCATAAGTGAGCTTATGAAAAGAGTTTATATGAAGTGATTTCATAAAAAAGATGCCATGAAGATTGTGATCAACTGTACAGATCTTTATTTTAAATTCCATTTGAAAATGGACCAAGGAACCAGACTGATAGTTCCGCAGGCTGGAGTATTTGCATTATATGCAGGAGGCCTTGGTTTGAATCCTGGCATTATGTGGTACCCTGAGGACCCAAGTAGTGATTCCAGAGCAGAGCTGGGAAGACCTCTACTACGACCCAAAACTACATTTAAAAAAAATAATAAAATAAATGAAACGAACCTAATAGAAGGCACGATTCAATCACATGAAACAAGAAAAAAACCCAAACTAAAGAGGTTGAACTCTTTTAGGCCTGTTTGTTTGTTTTTGTTTGGGGTCAGTGCTCAGCGATCACTCTTGGAAGGCTCAGTGGGACTATATGTGGTGACAGAGATGGAACCTAGGTTGGCTGTGTGCAAGGCAAGTGCCCTACCCACTGGACTCTCTCTCCAGTCCCTTTTAGGCCTTTTGAGGACATGTAAGACAGTGGCAGAGAGGGCTTCTCCTGTGACTCAGGCGCTGCTTATCAGTTGCTTCTAATAGCCCCCAACCACCCAAGCTGCCAATAAAAGGATGTAAAAAGCATTTGGAAAGGAGAAACATTTACTTTTCAAGAGAACTTTTTCCTGAGGAACATTCAGCAATTAATATGGGAGTTAGGATGACTTACAAAGGCATCAGATCGTGTTGCTTATTACCACTCAATGGTGGAACAACACAAGGTACCTGAAAGACACTAGTCCTAGACTGGACTCCACGGGACTTCCATATAGGATCCATTATCAGGAACACTGTGAATATATAATGAGTTTACCCGGTTCTTTTCTTTTCTTTCTTTTTTTTTTTTTGATTTGGGGGCCCACATCCAGTGGAACTTAAGACTTACTCCTGGTTTTGTGATCAGAGGTTTGGAAGATCATATAGGGTGATGGGTATTGAACCTGGCTAAGATACATGTAAGGCAAGTGCCCTACCCACTGTGCTACAGCTCAAGCCCTGGAGTTTATCCATTTGTTTTAATCCATTTTTTAAAGGAACTCTATGTCAGATGTTCTAATTCAAATCCTAACTCTGCAGACCATCAGCTGTGGTATGAGAAGGCTATTCAAATTTATTTACCCTGTATTTTCTCATCTGCAATATGAATGTGATAGGAATGGGCTGAGAGAATGAGATAATTCATGTAAAGTGTTGAGAATAGCCTCTGGCACAGAGTCTGTACTCAATAAATAAATATTACTCATTATTAATGCATGATAATACAATTACTAATATTATTCAGTTTTGTATTGCCATCACCTAACACAGGACCTGAAAGACATATACTGTGCATTTAATAGATGTGTCTTGATGCTTTAACAAAGAGAGAAATGCAGGAAATGGGACAGACATGGATATTTATAATAGGTGAATCATTACTAAAGAGCCAGCTCAGCTACAGCTCATGTCAAAAATAGGGAAACATTATTAGCAAATGAGAAATCAGGATTCTATGTGCAGTTCTATTGTGAAAGACAATTACTTTGTTGACTCCAAGAATGGTTGCACTTAAGACAACAGGCTTGAGACCATCATTTTGTATAAACACTGAGGAGGGCTTGTGGACTCCAGCTTGGAAAAGCAAGATGTACTCAATTCACACTTCCATGTGAAGACCAAGCAAAGCATGGTTTACTGCAAGGTGGTAATGAGAAAATAAATGGAGGAAACTTAAGTTTAAACAAACACATCATTACAAAAGATAAAAGGTGCATAAACATTGTTCTTGGTCATTGATCTAGTACTTCCTTTCTACATATAGTTCCAACTTCTAACTTCTCATCTTCAGCTCTGATTCAGACAAGGAGTGGAATGACTCAGAAAACAAATCAGTATTTAGAGAAGAAAACAAAGAGAATGGAATGGAGTGCTGGGAACTAGTGTAAGTTAGTGAGGGAAATCTGAAAACGTTTATAAAAGAGGTGAGAAAAGTTGAAAGACATTTCCCTCCTCCAGTTTCCTCAGCTGGCTTCTCTGCTCTTTCTTTCAGTTCCCCTTTTGCTTCCTTTTGTTAATCTTACCTTCTTATTTGGTTTGGATATCTTTTCCCCTTAGGAATTGCCTTTTTAACCCTTCACTTTCATTACTGGCTATTGTACCACTTCACATTTTTTGGGTCATCAGCCCTGGGATCTCTCTCTACCCTTGGTTTCCACCTTTCCCAGATTTACATCCATTCATAGTGTAGCCAAATTGATAGAACATGGAGTTGAACGAGGATATGTTTAGTTCATTTTATTTTCTTGCAATACGTCTCAAGAGCTTACAAGCTCTCTGAAAATCAGTAGGCTATGATAATGACTGCTAAATATCTAGCATCTAGTGTAGTGCCCAGAATAAACAAGGTTCACTATATTCTATCTTTTAGAAATAAATGGATAAAGGTTGTATTTGAGTCATTATAGAAGATAAAAGGTATGCAAACACAATTCGAGGTCATTAATCTAGTACCTTCCTTTTGTTGAGCCTGACCTTTGCTTCTATTTGACATACTTTAGTTCATTTCTTGTGAAATCTTCCATCCCAGTGCTCTGTGATCTACTTTCCTGGTGTTTTGTTTTGTTTTGTTCTGTTTTTAAGTTTTTGGGCCACACCCAGCCAAGCTCAGGGCTTACTCCTGGTGCTACACTCAGGAATCACTCCTGGTGGTTTTCAGAGAATTATATGGGATCTGGGGGATCAAACCCTGGTAGGCTGTGTGTAAGGCAAGCACCCTATATGCTGTACTATGGCTCTGGCCTCCCTCCTCCTTTTCTTTTTTCTTTGCTTTATATCTCCTCTTCTTTTAATTTTCCTCCCATTTTTATTGAGGTACCATGATTTACCATACTGTTAATAATAGTTTCATGTATACATCACATTCCAATACCACACCCATCACCAAGCCTATTTCTGCCCACCAAATCCCACCCACCATTGCCCATTAAACTCATTTCTATCGACCAATTCTCCAGTTCTGTTGTCTTTGGCCATTTGCTGCTCTCTTAATATCTATTTTTATCTTTATTTCTTAGAGATTCTTTTTTTTTTTTGCTTTGTGTTTTTTGGTTTTAGTGCCACACTGGCAGTGTTCAGGGTTTACTCCTGACTCTACACTCAGAGATCACTCTTGGTGGGGCTGGGGGTAAGTGATAATTATTGGGGTGTGGGAAATCAAACCTGGTCAGTCACATACAACACAAGTGACTTATTTTCTGTACTCTTTCCAGTCCAGAGATTCTGTGCTTTTAGTTGTCTTTTCTTTAATTCAGAAAATTCATATTTGTCTAGTGTTTAGTTGAGGTTTTATCCCATTACAATTTTGTGATTAATTTTTGAGTCTTTTTCTCCTGAGTTTGAAAATTAAATCATAAAAAAAAAATTCATGTTTTCCTTTAAAATGAACTTCAGGACCGCAGAGATAGTGCAGTGGGTAGGGCACTTACCTTGCATGAATCTAAACTGGGTCCAATCCCCGACATGCCATGTGTCTCCCTAGCCCCACCAAGAGTTATTTCTGGGCATAGAGACAGAAGTAAGGCCTCTGTACTGCTTGTTTTTTTTATGTGGTGGTCACCTGGCATTGCTGAGGGACTATTCCAGCTCTTTGCTTAGGGGCCACTCCGTACAGTGATCAAGGGGGTCTCTCTGTGTTAGAATTTGAACACAGACCTTCTGTATGTAGAGCATACACTTAGCCCATTGAGCCATCTTTACAGTCCCATGTTGTTATTTAAGAAGGTAAATGGGGAGACTGGAGCAATAATGCAGCAATAATGGAGCAATAATGCCGGCCTTGCATGCCGGCAGACCCAGGTTCAATATCCAGCATCCCATCTGGTTTCTCAAGCACCACCAGGAGGAATTCCTGAGTTCAGAACCAAGATTAAGCACTGAGTATCACCTGGTGTGGTCCCAAAACCTAAATAGTAATAATAATAAAAATAATAACAATAATAGTGTGTACATGTTGAAGATAGAAGGAACCGGCTGAGAGCAAAGTTAAAGTAAAACAATGCAAAAATGAGAGTGATCACTAACAAGGAAAGGCATTACTTTTTAAAACAGTGTAAATGGAAGGCAGAGTTGAATTCTAAGACCACCAGCCTCACAAAATAGGAAGAAAGGTCAGTTGTCAGGAATGAGCTGGGAAGGGACTTAGGAAGTTAGGAAGATCTCTTTTACTCCTCAGTTCATTTATTTCACAGATGTATTCACCTACTTATATGTGATTTACCCCTCTTTAGTATTTTTTCCACTTTTCTCCCAAGATTTCAAGTCTTTGATTACATGAACCTAGCAGCAGGCACATAGAACCACCCCCAGCCAATTGTGATCCTCTTTGACTCATTGTTCCAGGCTATTGGCATCTTTTTGAACCCCAATTCTGTCAGCCAGTGCTGTTCCTTCCAACTTTGTGTCATTCTTTAAGACTATGATTAGTGCATGTCCTATGCTTTTTATTACAAACATTTATAAAAATGTTGAGTGGGGGTAGCTTTAAGATTGAAGAATACCAAGTGAAATCTCTTTCCCTAACAACTGAACTCTTTAACAAGCTCCCTTTGGGTGAAGTGCTCTTGCCTAGGCAGTATCTCTTCACCTCTTCCAACAGGAGGTCATGAAAGAGCTCATCAAATACTTTGCTGAAGTCCAAATGCACCATGCTCAATTCATTTCCCTCATCAAGCTGGCAAGTAAGTGAATAATGCTGGCAAGTAAAATACAATTAGATTGACAAAACTTGTTTCTAGCAAACCTATGCCAAATGGCCATGATTTCTCTTTCCAAGTGCTTATAAACAAAATTCCTTAACTGACAGTTATAGATTCTTTCTGGTATTGACAGCAAATTTGCTGCTACACATTTTGCAATTTTTTTATTTTCTTTCCATAAAGCAGACTAATAGATATGCTTGTTATTAAGCTTCTGGCATCTTTTTTCTCTTGGTTCCCTTCATTCTGTAGAAATAATCTTCTTCACTGTAAAAATGAAAAATTGCAAAGTTTCTTATAGGAGTATGTTATCCTGTAAGAGCAACATAATGTCCTGGGGAGGTATTTGGAGGAGGTATTCCACAGGCTGTTGAGACAGAGCAGAAGCCTCTGAAAGCAAAAGGTGACAAGATCCATTAAGGTCATTGGCTCTCTGAATGGGAAGTGTATTATAGTGTCTTAGACACATGAATTTGGTTTGGAATGGTAATTAAAGTCCCTCTTAAAGAGAAGATTTCTGATAGATTTTTAGTTGATAAACTGTTCTTGTCTCTCCACACTCATATTGTTCATCTCTGTCATTCGTAACTTCAGGAAACCAAAAGTTAAATCTACTAGCATTTAAAATTGGACTTACCCACTTTCCCAAGCCTGGATAGTCATGCTCTGGATCAAAAAGGTGCTGGTGCAACTGGAATTCTCGACTAAACTCTGCTGTGTCCGGGGTGTTTTCTAGACATCCATCATCTACTGCAACAGCAAAAGGTTTTTGAGGAATGGCCAAGGCATTTAATGTTACTCTGAGTTAATTTATTAAAAACAACTGGACATAAAAAGGTCAAATTCTATTCCTGTAAGTCACCCAAAATCACCTTCTCTAAGTCATCAAGTCTCTGGTTCTATGGAGCTGCTCATCCAGACCTCCAATTTTCCATCTACATGTGGCAGAGATTTCTTGGCTGCTCACCAAATCCACTTCCCTTTCCCCCTTGCGATAAAGCTAATTCCCCATCCTTGCTTTGCAGTCAGGTGGAATTTGGCACATGAAATAAAATGAGGAAAGGACTGATGGATTCTATTTCTAGGCTTAGTCCGAAAATGTGCTATGGTCCTCTCTATTCCTTTCCTATACACCACCCCCAAAACCCTCTATCTGCTGGTCTTCTTGATACATGTTACCAACAAGATACCAACAAGATATCTTGTGTAAAGAAGAAAAGTGGCAGGTGTGGGTTGCTGAATCATCTACCCCCACCACAACTTCACCTACCTTTGGCAGGATCCCACACGAATGAGAGATAAACTTCTATTGCATTGTCTCTACAACATTTTATCTGTTATGATATCATGTGTTTATTTAACTCAGAGATTCCCAAACTTATTTGGCAGACTGCCCTTTTTGCAGAAAAAAATTAATTACTCAGCATTCCCTGTAAATATATCATCTTTAAGTGAATAAACAGAGAGCACCTCCCGATTACACCCAAGGCTACTACCATGATCTGGAGCAATAGGAGATGGTATCAGTCATTCGGGGATACACTGATTTAGCTAATATACTTTGTTCTACATGACTCACTCTGTTTTCGTTTTAGTGAATCCTTCAGAAACAATTTTAGCTTCTTGAAGAAAGTATAATTTAACTAAGAACAACAACTATCACTAGAGTTCTTGATGGTGTGTGTTGCCATAGCCATGAGATAAGTCTGAAGTCAGGTACACAAGAACTCACGGTTGAAATACAAGATGGGTTGCACTTCTTGGGAAAGCCACCCTAGTTTGATCTGTCTATGTACTTATCCATAAGCTGAAAATAGTCAAATACTTACCTTACAGATAGGAATAGACATAATCACATATAGAGCATCTGGGACATAATAGGTTTTCCCTGTTATTTCTCATAACCCCTTCTCACCTTCTCCCTTTATTTACTTATTTATTTATTTTTAAATTTTTATTAGTGAAACACCATGAAGTACCGTTGTAGACTTACAAATTTCACCTTCTCCCTTTAAATGACCATTTTTGAGCCAGTGAGATAGCAAAGAGGTTAAGCTTCGCACGATTCACAGTGCTAACTCTTAAGTGCTAACAGCTAGCACTTGATGACATAGGTCTATGTCTCAGAATGACTCATAACTACACCATATGGTTTATAAAGACACTGACTATGTCTTCGTTCTATGGCTGAACAGTCCCAGGGAAGCAAAGTGTCAGACTGTGGCTAAATTCAGATCTGTTGATTCACAACATGATTCTGTTTGCATTTTCCTGTAATGGTGGTTCTCAAACTTTAGTAGGCACTGACATTAGATGCCAGGTTAAAATACAGGTGGATGATTTTAGCCACGGCGATTCCAATTCAATAAATCTGGGTTAGAGGCTGAGAATGTGGGTTTCCAAGTGTCCAGGTAATGCTGATACAGATGTCCTGGGATGAAGACTTAAGAACTCTGCACTATATTATATCTAATCAACTTTACTAAATCTTCACAGAAACTCTTGCCTCTCTAAGTCATGAACTGGTCTTTCTTCATTCCCAAGCAAAGTCCTACAAGCAAAGTAAATGTGGCTGAAGTGATTGATTCTGTTCAGTGAGTCAGGTTTTCCTGCATCCTAGGCCAACCTCCTGACATTGGTATAGCCACATCCAACTTTAATGTTTTCATCCCAAAATGAAAATCTATGATCCGTACAAGCGAGACACCTTAGCCTAAGTGATGCATCACTTAGAAAGTCTCTTTCAGAAAGTCTCTTCTAGAAAGAGCCTGAATGTGTTTAAGAAAAGCCAAGAGGACAGTACTGTCACAATTTTCAAATGAAGGCAATGGTGGTTGCCTTGCTACCAAGGTTGGGAGCATATCTTTCTGAGTCAAATACCTTTGAACTTGAACTTTATTTCAGCTATTTGCTATATAAATAATTTTTAAAAGTTACTCAAAAAGCTTCAGTTTCCATATATGGAATGTAGAGCAAATAAATACTATTATTGTTATTGGGTTGTGGGGGAGAAAAGTTACTCTAGTACTAGAAATTAGAACAAGTCCAATGAAAGAGATAGAGGTATTATTTACTAGTAGCAAAGTGGATTATACTCAAGATGACATGTAATGTTATTTGTGCCAATCACTATATCAAGTGCTAGACAAGGGTATTTTAAGTCTAGTCCTACAACAGTCTCAACCTTCATTTGCAGATGAGGTGATGGAGATGCAAAGTAGTTAATTAACACATTCAAGATCAAATATTGTGATTGTGGTTTGAATTCAGGTAAGCTGATTCTATTTCACTATTTCTTTTCTTTTTTTTTTTTTTTGCTTTTTTTTTCTTTTTGGGTCACACCCAGTGATGCACAGGGATTACTCCTGGCTCATGCACTCAGGAATTACTCCTGGCAATGCTCAGGGGATGATATGGGATGCTGGGAATCGAGCCCGGGTTGGCTGCATGCAAGGCAAATGCCCTACCCACTGTGCTATTGCTCGAGCCCATCTATCCCACTATTTCTAATCATCAAGGTAAAAATTCTGTAAGCCAAACTTACACCTTCACCATGCATTCTCTTAAGCCTTTAGAGGTTCTGAAGTGGAAAGGACACACAACTAGCTAGGACAGTGGCAGCTTTCTTCCTCAACTTTTTACATTATTGGTTTCTCCCTATCACATGCCACCTCCTGGTCCAGAAAGAAATTTTTCAGGATTATTTCTAACTAGTTGTAAAATTGTTGAAATGCCAAGCTCTCACAGAGTTGGGAATGAGTGACCCCCTACCACGTCCCTGTTCTTCCAGGAGCCTGGCAGTCATGCCCATGAACTGCGTCTGGTGCTATATAAGCTCATTAACCGGCCATAATCCAGGGAGTCATAAATAAATCTCAGAAGATTTCGGCAAGCTGTAGAGATGCCTCCAGACACGGCACCAGGCTGAGTCTTATATGTGGGGCACCATCACCCGCCCAAACAGATTAAGAGCAGCTGAAAACTCCACACTCCAATCACTGCCAGGCTCAGGGCTGGACTCCACAGGCTCAGAAAGAGCCTCATGCAGGAACTAATCTGTTGAAAAACTCAGGTATGCAGGTTTTGGGACCAAAATCTCCAGGATCTCACAGAATCAGGGATGAACGACCTTCCCTTTATCCCCATATTGAAGCCTGGTGGTCATGCCCGTGAACTGCCTCTGGTGCCATACAAGCTCACTAATCAGCCATGATTCAGAAGTGCATAAATAAATCTCAAAAGAGATCAACAAGCTGCAGAGATGTTTCCAGACCCCAATGTCACCATTCAGTTAAAAATTTAACTCCAGCTGTATCACCCCACTCAAAATTTTAGAATTCCTGGAGTGACATCTCAAACTCTACACTGTTAATATACCAGGACTATCATACCACAATGGATGGGATGTAAAATAGAAGTCAACCAATCTCGATTAAGAAAATATTAACACGATCTTTACAGCATACAGCCAAAGAGAAGGGCCACATGGAGGGCGGGGATCCACAGCTCCCAAAGGAAAAAAAAAAAAACAGGTTCCAAAAAGAGCCGAGATCATCGGGAAGTCCCAGATGGGGTAGGTACCGCATCCCGCCTCCCCCAGATGGAACCCCGGTGACCAGAAGCCTCTACAAGCACAGCTTGTAGGACTTTTCCTCAAAACCGTGCGGCCACTTACACGGCCACGCGACATCTCTCTATATACAAAGTGATCAATGGGAAGTAAACCACCCAACGTTTCTCCCTGAAAATTAGAGTTAAGTTTGGAGCACAGCCACAGCCCCAGAAACACAAGAACTTAATGCATAACCCAGCAGCTTGGAGCAGAAAACTGAACGGACTATGCGTTAATCCAGGCCATCATGTCTGCCCGGAGGGGAAAGGGTGTTGCCCCATTCGCCCTCTCTTCTCTGGAAAGAAGGATGGCGGCCGCATGGGAGCCTTGTGGACAGCAGGTATGAGCTGGGGGTGTGGGGGCAACTAAAACCTCATGGGAAGGGGGGCGTTCCGGTCCGTCCTTCACGCCCTACCGAGGTCACCAGTTGCCCCCCGCGAGTGGCTCTCCAGCACAGCCACGGCCCCAGAAGCACAAGGACTCAATGCAGAACCCGGCAGCTGGGAGCAGAAAAGTGAATGGACTATGCGTTAATCCAGGCCATCAAGTCTGCCAGAGGGGAAAGGGTGTTGCCCCATTCGCCCTCTCTTCTCTGGAAAGAAGGATAGTGGCCGCATGGGAGCCCTGTGGACAGCAGGTATGAGCTGGGGATGTGGGGGCGACTAAAACCTCATGGGAGGGGGGCGTTCCGGTCTGTCCTTCACGCCCTACCGAGGTCACCAGTTGCCCCCTGCGAGCAGCTCTCCAGCACAGCCACGGCCCCAGAAGCACAAGGACTTAATGCAGAACCCAGCAGCTTGGAGCAGAAAAGTGAACGGACTATGCGTTAATCCAGGCTATCATGTCTGTCTGGAGGGGAAAGGGTGTTGCCCCAGTCGCCCTCTCCTCTCTGGAAAGAAAGTTGGCGGCTGCATGGGAGCCTTGTGGACAGCAGGTATGAGCCGGGGGTGTGGGGGGCGACTAAAACCTCATGGGAAGGGGGGCGTTTCGGTCCGCCCTTCACGCCCTACCGAGGCCACCAGTTGCCCCCCACTAGCGGCTCTCCAGCACGGCCACGACTCCAGAGCACAGAAACCAATTTCTGAACTATCTGACTTTCAGTAGAAATACTTCCAGGGTCAATAAGTAAAATAGCAGAAATCCAAAACCAACATTTAATTCTTGAACCCAGCTGTAGAAAGCAAATCACTTCACAATGCTTTTTCAGCATGTCTGATTGGGCGGGGGGGTAAACTCTAAATAATAGTGGTGAATCTTTTACTGAAACAATGAATCTAATCAAAGCAGATAGAGTGTTAGCTAGAATTCATCTGCCTTACAGGGACTGGGAGGGGCGGGGGGTGGGGTTTTATTGGGGTTCTTCATGGTAAAAAAATAAGTATTGGTAAAGGGAAATGTGTTTGATATTTGCATGACTGAGACCTAAACCTGAAAGCTTTGTAACCTTTCCCACAGTGATTCAATAAATAAATAAATAAATAAATAAAAATATTAACACATCAGACTTAACCTGTAATAACATGTATTAATCACCTATATAAGGGCTTAATAACTCCAGGGTGAGATAGAAAAATCGTCACTCTGTTTCTTCTAAGGAAATCTTTTTTGATCATTTTTAGCAAATATTCATAACAAGTAATATAAAATAAATTATTTAGGGCCTGCTATTGGTGCAGGCTTGGGTGGTGGTTGGAAAATTGGAAACAATGGTGGTGGGAACATGTAATGGTGGTGGGATTGGTGTTGGAATACTGAATGTAATAAATCATCATTAACAACTTTATAAAATTTTTAAAAATAAAATATAAGTACTTAAAATGTTTGTTGAAAAAATATGGAAAACAAATGAAATGTATAATCCCAACTAGTTTCAGAGATACTAAAAAAATATGTGCATGGGGTTGGGGTGGGGGACACCGGGGAAAGCAATAGTACAGTGGTTCGCTGTACTATCCCAGGCAATACTTTAAAATGAAATTTGTTTGTCCCAGTGGACAATCCGAGTTCAATCCTCAGCACCCCATATGGTCCCCTAAGCCCTACCGGCAATGACCCATGAGCACAGAGTCAGGAATAAGCCCTGAGTAGTGCGTGGGTGTGGCAATTTCTTCTTTCATGGAAGAGACAAAAACTTCCTCCCTATTTATTGAATGAGTAGCAAGTGCAGAAAACACATCAATTCCTCAGAAGGAAGAAATACAGGAGATCAAGGGAATCCTTTGTGGGTGCTGCTAAACACCAGAACTCTCCCAAGGATTCTAGAATAAACTTCTCCTTTCAATCTACTTACAACAACAAAGGAATTCAACAGAATAGAAACATTATTTCTCAGTATCTAATATTCTTGGGATCCCAAGGGCATGTACATTACCTGTTTTTCCAACTGGACATGGATTTGGAGGGTCTGGGTAGCCTTGATCTTCACTAAAGTCCTTAGGGATGTTGTCACCAGTCAACTCGGCCACAATGTTTGGAATGTTGCCAAAAGGACCCAAGTGCTGTAGACCTTCATGAGCTCCTCCTGCAGAGAATCAGGAGTTCATTTTCGTGCAATTAAAGTCTTGTTAACAGATAATTACATCGGCATCTGATACAAGCAAGAGCACTAGGTCTGGGGCCAGAGGAATAGTACAGCAGATAGGGCACTTGTCATGCACATGGCTGACTTGGGTTTAATCTACAGTACCCCCCATAACCTCCTGTGTCCCACCAGGAGTGATCCATGGGTTCACAGAGCCAGGAGTAAGTAATCCGTGAGCACCTTTGGGTTCTGTTCAAAACAAGACAAACAAAAAAACAAAAAACACTGGTTCTGTTGTATGAAGGAAAAAGAAATCAAAGAGTTCTTGCCCTCCAGTAGTAAAGAAATGTAGCTGTAGAAACAGATTCATACATCATATAGCATTTCCTTGTAGGCCACCTTATATACATCCTGTAACAGAAATGTTGACATGCCTTGTGGGAGCATAGAAAAAGTAGTTTCATTTGGCTGATGGGTAGTGGCCTTCTGGGACCTGAGTGGCATTGACACAGATGAATTAGGATTTGAAACTAGGTATGGAGCTTGGCTGTGTGGTGGGTAGAGGGGAGGAACGGAATCGTTTAGCAGTGAGATATCAGAAGAGAGAATAATAGCCCATACTCAATAATGAAGACAAAAATCTTACTATCCTCCTGCTGTTCTAGATCAACCACTTGAAATAGTGGAGTACTATTTCTCATCTTCATATTTTTAGAAAATAAATATTTGTTCATTTTTTATTTAATATTAAAGCACACTCATCTTTCCATGTGGCTGCATGGTCTTTATTCTCACAAATGGCTATGTTGTTTCTTCATCCGGTGGTTCTACCACAACATATTAATCATTCCCCCATTGTGGAACAATTCATGTTTCCCAACTTACTCTCAGGGTTTAATTTCTTCCATATTTTGAATTAACTTTCCTAAGGATAGATTCCCAGAAGACAAATTAATGGGTCAAAACTATGAACATTTTATGACATATTATATTGCCAAACTGCTTTGCAAAGGAGGCACCAATTTATACAATATCATCAACAGAATAGAATACTATTTTTACAACATCTTTACCAGCACCATGTTTTACAGAAGTAATTTTTAATGTTTTCTTGATAATTTAAAAGGCTCTTAGAAAAATGACTATTTTATTTTGAATTATTTGATTGCCAGCTCAATCAAATGTTTCTCCATGTATTTATTTACTAGTTTCAATTTTGGATGAGGTAAGCTGTCTGTTTCTGCTCTTGCGATTTTAGTATTTCTTCTATCAATTGATATAAAAATTTTATGTAACAAAGTTATCAGAATTCTGTCCCATTTCCTGTTTTTTTCTATGTTTTTGTTTTCGGGTCATACTCCCTGCAGTGCTCAAGGCTCACTTTTGGCTTTGCACTCCAGGATTATTTCAGACAATGCTCAGGGGGGCCACACGTAGTAACTTATATAGTGTAAATTAATTTTTCACTTATATACAACACACATAAATTTCTTCACTCTTACTTTTCTTGAAGTCTTAATATCTCATAAGTATAACAATCACTTTTCCAACACTAAAGCAGAACACTTCTTGAGATGAATTAACTTCATTGGGGTACAGATGCTTCTCACTTTCCTTAACACACAATTACCCTGTATACAGAACTATGTATAAAGAGCAAGATTGGAAACAAACGGTGGAATAGAAGCATCATTCAATTGTCTTTTGCATATCGGAGGATCAGGTTTGAGGGCTGGCACCAAAGAGTCCCTTGAGCACTGCCTGGACTTACTCCCAAGCACAGAACCTCGCATAGCCCTTGAACACCACCAAGTATGGGCCGACCCCACCACCCACCCAAATCAAAAGGTGCCTTGCTGTTAGAAAAGACGAAGTCACAAAATTTGCATACAAGTGGTACTACATGGAAAGTATTATGTTAAGCAAAATGACCCAGAAAGAAAGGGATAGACATAGAAAGATTGCATTCATCTGGGGAACATAAAGTAACAAAATAGGAAACTAACACCCAAGAATGGCCGAGATTAGTACCAGGAATTTTACTCTATGACTTGGAGGCCAACCACACATACTAGGGGAAAAGGGAGCTCAGATAAAGAGGGGAAAACCAAATAAAGGTGTTGGGAGGATCCTCCCAGGATGGGAGAAGCATGCTGAAAATAGACTATAGACCAAACATGATTGCCACTCAATGCTTCTTTTGCAAACCACAACACCCAAAAGGAGAGAGAGAACAGAGGGGAATGCCCTGCCACAGAGACAGGGTGGGATGGGGGGATGGGGGGTGGGAGGGATACTGGGATCCGTGGTGGTGGGAAATAGGCACTGGTGGAGGGATGGGTGTTTGATCATTGAATAATTGAAACCCAAGCACAAAAATGTGTAAGTCTGCAACTGTACCTCATGATGTCTCACTATTAAAAAATTTTATAATAAAAAAAAAGGTGCCTTGCTTAGTTGACGTGAAATAGAACCCAGATCTAGGTAAAATAACCATACATTTGCCATCACAAGATGTTTGCCAAGGTGTAATGTTCCTTAGATGGGGTTCCCTTATGTTTTGGATGAGCTCTGTCCTTTGATAATTGCTTTACCTCTTTGGTTTTGTTCTTTTGACTGCTCTGGCTCCTTCGTGGCTTGACACAATTTTCTCCTTTTAAGTCCCAATATATTCAGTAGTAATGTGACCAGTTCTTATTATACTGGGAGTAATGTTATCGCTTTGAAATGACTGCATCACTCTTTCTTCATTTGTTATATTTGATTATAGTCTATTCCAAATTCTTCTGGCCTCCATATATAGACTACACGAAATGGCTGAGTAGTTTTGTTTACATTTGTCTTTATTGTTTGGGATAAGAGCAAGTAGCCTGCAAATTTTCTGTGTTCCAAAGGGATTATTTTTATTACTTTTTTATGTGAATGAAACAAACTTCAAAATAAGGTGCATTTTCTTTTTTTGAGGTTTGCTTTTGCATTTTGATGCTATGTTAATGGGCATGTGCAAGGGTATAAATATATACTTCACTTTTCCCTGTTATTAATTAGAAGTTAAGAATTTACTAACAAATGCTATTTTGATTTGCTCGAGCAGGCCCAGTAACGTCTCCATTGGAGACTTTGTTGTTACTGTGTCTGGCATATCGAATACTCTCGGTATCTTGCCGGGCTCTCCGAGAGGGGCGGAGGAATCAAACTCAGGTCGGCCATGTTGGCCGCTTGTAAGGCAAACGCCCTACCGCTGTACTGATCCAGGTTTCTTCTGTTAGGATTGCCACTCTCATTCTATTTTTTTGCATCTAGAAAAATCTTTGGTCATACATTATTTTCAAACTTTCTGATTCTTCCTGATGGTTTATCCAACTTTTAAGGTGATAACTGCCTTCAGAGACCTCCTGGAGATACAAATATAATACCTCCACTACCCCCAAACCTGCAAAAGGTTAAATACATAGGGCAGTGCCCTTGTTATTGATTTATTTGAAGTATATTGGTGTGATAGCCCCACTGAGCTTGCTGCTATAGGGCTCAGTCTTTGGTGTGTCAATACATGTCTCAACTTTTGAAAGCACCCTAGACTAAGTGCCAGGAATTGTCCAACTTGGCTTAAGGGAGAATGCATGTCTTAATGCTCCATTAGTAATTAATGAAGGAAGCAAACACAGTTTCCTTTATGGAAAGGCTGCCAAGGTTCTGTTTACCTCTGTGCACCAGTGCCATGAAAATGAATACAGCACTTGTGATGAAGCAACAGATGTTTAGCACCCAAGCAGACACATCCTAACACAGGCTCTTTTCAAATTATATTTAATGACATCCAATCAAAAAACATTCGCTGAGGGCCAGGGATGTGGCTCAGCAGTAAAGTATGAGCCTTGCATGTGTGAGGCCCTGGGTTCTATCCTCAGCACCATGAAAAATAAAAAACAGAACAGAAATGAAACGTTCACTGAGTTAGGAACTGTGGGAAATATATGAAAGGGGTCGGAGGAACAAAAGAAAAGCTCTCTGTTGCCCTCTAGTAACTCGAATTGTATATACAAGTAACCACAGGGAGAAAATAATTACAAAATGAAGTGGCTGAGTATATAAGCAAAATAAATGCTAGTTATCTGGCTTGTTTTAATGCTTAAATTGTGCCTGTCTGTTGCACCTAAAACCAAGTCAGCCCGAATACTATGATGCAACGAGTGCTATTACATGCATCCCTCCTCCCCCCCCCACACCTTCTTTTGTGTGGTTGTGGTTCTGAGGTGGTAGTGGTATCAAGAGTCACACATTTGGTTGCATTTCAAATGCATGTTTTAAAGTATATTTAGTAAGTTTTAAAAATATAGATTGAGGGGCTGGAGCAATAGCACAGCGGGTAGGGCGTTTGCCTTGCATGCGGCCAACCCGGGTTCGATTCCCAGCATCCCATATGGTCCCCTGAGCACCGCCAGGGGTAATTCCTGAGCGCAGAGCCAGGAGTAACCCCTGGGCATTGCTGGGTGTGACCCAAAAAGCAAAAATAAATAAATAAATAAAAATACAGATTGAGTGCATAATACGTCTCAAGACTGGACTGAGTGGTAGACGGTCAGTTGAAAACCAGATAAATGTAGTTTCCATTTACCTAGAGTTTATTGTCTATGGGAGACATACAAAGAAATAAATACCTAAAATAATGGGCAGAGATTTAAAAACCACTCAGAATATAACTGGGATGTTGAGAGATCTCATAGGTGTGTAGAGGAGAAATATTTTAACCCAGATGTAGTCTGTGGAGGACTTCCTGCAGGAAGAAGCATGCAAATAAATATGTTAGGTGCTGTGAAAGAAACAAAGGTGAAGTCCTCACTCCTACTCTAGAGTTCAGTCTTCATTCAAGTTAGTTATTTAAGACAAACAAAATGAATCCCATAGACATATTCCTCAATATAATATACCATGGAACAGACCATGGAAAAGATTATAAATGATGTGAAGATTCAGGAAAGAGGGAGCATCTATGGAAGAGG